GCTTTTCTGGCACTTCTTTTATTGAATCCAATACTTTGTCCAATTAATTGTCGATTGAAAAATATTGAGCACAACTCGTTGTACTCAACTTTTTCGAATGAAACATCTAAAACGATTTTATTTCTCTTTGTATATCTAGAAATGGTGCTTAGCGGTACCTCACTGCGACACTTGTACACAACATTTTCAATTGTTGGAATGAAAAAATTATTTCTAGTTATTGGGTGTACAACTCTTTCTTTAAGACTATTACCTGAAGGTTGTAGATATGTTGGTCCAGTCGCACTTTTTTTTTCATCTGATCCGCCACTAGCCAAGTCAATTTTCTTACTAATGTCATTATCCTCCAGGGCTTCATAGGATTTTTCATCTGAATTCAAATAATGTGAACCTATTAATGGCAATTCATTCACTTCTATAATGTTAAAATGTTTCTTCAACTCTTTAAGAACTGCTACAAACGCCTGGCTTTTGGCAATTTTTTTAGTAGGTCCCGTACCTCGTCCAACAAATTTTTTGTTGTAAAGTATTGTGCATGAATGAAGGTTCTAAACTTTGTCATACACAAAATCTACTTTGATATTATTTCTTTTGGCAAATTTAAGAAGAACGAACCGTGGCGGTTCATTAAATTGTGAATACACAACATTTTCTATAGTCTGAATAAAAAAAGAATCTAGAGTAGATACATGTGCATCTGGTTTTTCAATACAATTAACTGAAGACTGTTTTTTATTAAAATTTAAATTACTTGTAATTTCTGGTGGTGGAACATTGTCGAATTGGATAATGTTAAAATTCTTTTTCAACTCTTCAAAAACTATGGCACAAGCAGCTTTTCTGGCACTTCTTTTATTGAATCCAATACTTTGTCCAATTAATTGTCGATTGAAAAATATTGAGCACAACTCGTTGTACTCAACTTTTTCGAATGAAACATCTAAAACGATTTTATTTCTCTTTGTATATCTAGAAATGGTGCTTAGCGGTACCTCACTGCGACACTTGTACACAACATTTTCAATTGTTGGAATGAAAAAATTATTTCTAGTTATTGGGTGTACAACTCTTTCTTTAAGACTATTACCTGAAGGTTGTAGATATGTTGGTCCAGTCGCACTTTTTTTTTCATCTGATCCGCCACTAGCCAAGTCAATTTTCTTACTAATGTCATTATCCTCCAGGGCTTCATAGGATTTTTCATCTGAATTCAAATAATGTGAACCTATTAATGGCAATTCATTCACTTCTATAATGTTAAAATGTTTCTTCAACTCTTTAAGAACTGCTACAAACGCCTGGCTTTTGGCAATTTTTTTAGTAGGTCCCGTACCTCGTCCAACAAATTTTTTGTTGTAAAGTATTGTGCATGAATGAAGGCTGTCAACAGTATCTTTGACAATATGTACTTTAATCTTATTTCTTTTCGCGAATCTACAAACAGTAGACTGTGGCGGTTCATTAAATTGTTTATACATAACATTTTCTATGGTCTGAATAAAAAAAACATCTTGAGTCGATGGATTTGAATCTATGTTTTTAAGACTATTGACTATTAATGGTGTAATAAATTTAATCGTTTTTGAAACAACTTTGTCATCAGTTGACACAATGAATGTTGATTTTTCGTCTGGTTTCAAATATTTGGAACCTATTGGAGGTAATTTTTCATTGGTTTGTATGATGTTGAAATATTTTTTCAGCTCTTCAAGAACTGCTACACACGCCTGGCTTTTGGCAATATTTTTAGTATGTCCCGTACCTCGTCCAACAAATTTTTTGTTGTAAAGTATTGTGCATGAATGAAGGTTCTAAACTTTGTCATACACAAAATCTACTTTGATATTATTTCTTTTGGCAAATTTAAGAAGAACGAACCGTGGCGGTTCATTAAATTGTGAATACACAACATTTTCTATAGTCTGAATAAAAAAAACATCTTGAGTCGATGGATTTGAATCTATTTTTTTAAGACTATTGACTGAAGATTGTTGAGGATTAATTGGTTCTATCTCACTCACAAAATTTTCGCCAGATCTTGTACTAGTTGGACTAGTTGAAACTATGGCCTGTGGTTTATTTTTAGAGCCCTCACAAAAAAAGTCCTTTGTGTGTGCAGGAAAATTACTTTCTGTTGCTGTTTGTACGTCTTTTTGATCTGAATTTTTAAGGAGACTATTATTCGAAGACTGGGAATGCCGATCTTTATTGACTGGTAACATTTTAAGCAGTCGTTCAGGTTCAGGTTTCGAGCCAGATATACCTAAAACTATGTATTTTTTGTTTATAGAGAATATTATACTGTTTTTTTTGTTTTTCTCACACATAAATCATTGTACTTACAAACTGAATTGTTGCGTCTAAGCCCAGCCATTTTTGTAAGCCTCTTTTGTTAATAATAATTTGAGTCCTTTAATTGCTTTTTTAAGGTAGTTGTACAGGTACCGCAAGAGTCATGAAACTTTTTGATTTGTGTAGTAGAACGATCTGGCAACGTCGCTTTGCGGTCATGTGTGTGTGCCTGTAAGTGTGTGTTCAGAGCATCATAGAAGGAGCACTTCGTTGATCAGCTGTAGCAAAAGGAGAAGCGTGTGTATCTTTTTTTTAGTTAATAAAATAGTCATGCCCAAAGAAAAAAATAAGAAGTTTTTTTGGAAAGGTGTAAGGGTAAGCGAGAAAGTATATAATGCACGAGTAACTAAAAATAATAAAGTTAAAAATAGGCTATTTAATTATTTANATATTCAAACACAGATAAAAAGGTAAATGATATTTATAGAAAAAAAAAAATTAAATCTGTTTCTCCAACTGAATCCAAATGTATTGTTCACTAAATTGTTGTTTATCTTTTTGAACTCAATTCTACAGCAGCAACAAAAATAATTCTTCAAAACTGGCAAAATCTCCCTCAAAGATATCTATTGTAAATCATGAGGCTGCTGTGTGCAACACTACCTCCCGGACGCACTTCCTCCAATTCAAATTATTGATTCAAGCAGTAGGGGCAAGAACATCTTCTCGTACTTGATGAACATGAAGTTTTTTTTTTAAATTGACCAAAGATTGTTTAACATCCATTGGTTCAGTGACATCTTGGGAACTTTTACATAATTATCTACCAGCCAAGTCCGTTATTTTATTAACGTTTTGGAACATCAATTATTACCTGCTTCACAACTTGAGTAAAATTATCTTTAAAAAATTTTCTTATTTACTAATGAATTTCATTCTCTGTAAATGAATGTTCGTATTGCTTCGATTTATGGACGACCTTGGAATGCCTTTTCAGCTCTTCAAACACTGCTTTGTACGCATTTTTCTTAGCACATCCTCGACTTAAAGACATACTTTGTCCAATTAATTGTTTATTAAAAAATATTTTGCATAAAAAATAGCGCTCAAATTTTTCATACACACTCTCTATTTTCAATTTGTTTTTCTTAGAAAATTCAGAAACAATGTCCCGTGGTTCCGCATTTAATTTTTTATACACAACATTTTGTGTAGTCTGAATAAAAAAAGAATCTAGAGTAGATACATGTGCATCTGGTTTTTCAATACAATTAACTGAAGACTGTTTTTTATTAAAATTTAAATTACTTGTAATTTCTGGTGGTGGAACATTGTCGAATTGGATAATGTTAAAATTCTTTTTCAACTCTTCAAAAACTATGGCACAAGCAGCTTTTCTGGCACTTCTTTTATTGAATCCAATACTTTGTCCAATTAATTGTCGATTGAAAAATATTGAGCACAACTCGTTGTACTCAACTTTTTCGAATGAAACATCTAAAACGATTTTATTTCTCTTTGTATATCTAGAAATGGTGCTTAGCGGTACCTCACTGCGACACTTGTACACAACATTTTCAATTGTTGGAATGAAAAAATTATTTCTAGTTATTGGGTGTACAACTCTTTCTTTAAGACTATTACCTGAAGGTTGTAGATATGTTGGTCCAGTCGCACTTTTTTTTTCATCTGATCCGCCACTAGCCAAGTCAATTTTCTTACTAATGTCATTATCCTCCAGGGCTTCATAGGATTTTTCATCTGAATTCAAATAATGTGAACCTATTAATGGCAATTCATTCACTTCTATAATGTTAAAATGTTTCTTCAACTCTTTAAGAACTGCTACAAACGCCTGGCTTTTGGCAATTTTTTTAGTAGGTCCCGTACCTCGTCCAACAAATTTTTTGTTGTAAAGTATTGTGCATGAATGAAGGCTGTCAACAGTATCTTTGACAATATGTACTTTAATCTTATTTCTTTTCGCGAATCTACAAACAGTAGACTGTGGCGGTTCATTAAATTGTTTATACATAACATTTTCTATGGTCTGAATAAAAAAAACATCTTGAGTCGATGGATTTGAATCTATGTTTTTAAGACTATTGACTGAAGATTGTTGAGGATTAATTGGTTCTATCTCACTCACAAAATTTTCGCCAGATCTTGTACTAGTTGGACTAGTTGAAACTATGGCCTGTGGTTTATTTTTAGAGCCCTCACAAAAAAAGTCCTTTGTGTGTGCAGGAAAATTACTTTCTGTTGCTGTTTGTACGTCTTTTTGATCTGAATTTTTAAGGAGACTATTATTCGAAGACTGGGAATGCCGATCTTTATTGACTGGTAACATTTTAAGCAGTCGTTCAGGTTCAGGTTTCGAGCCAGATATACCTAAAACTATGTATTTTTTGTTTATAGAGAATATTATACTGTTTTTTTTGTTTTTCTCACACATAAATCATTGTACTTACAAACTGAATTGTTGCGTCTAAGCCCAGCCATTTTTGTAAGCCTCTTTTGTTAATAATAATTTGAGTCCTTTAATTGCTTTTTTAAGGTAGTTGTACAGGTACCGCAAGAGTCATGAAACTTTTTGATTTGTGTAGTAGAACGATCTGGCAACGTCGCTTTGCGGTCATNAAAAAAAAAAAAAAAAAAAAAAAAAAAAAAAAAAAAAAAAAAAAAAAAAAAAGAGTGGCTGTATTTACCGTCGTAGTCATGGAGTAGCCCCGAAAAATGACACGGACCATTGGGTCGAGTAGCCCAGAGGAGTCCATGCCCGGCTCAAATCTCCCTTGAAATATGTGAGCTCTCAGCTGGAACTTCTGAAATAAATCGGCCCCTCCCACATATTTATACGCTCTGTTACTTCCCTTTCGTACGCTGGATATTCTGCATACACATTGTTATTCATCCAGAGCATAACGATACCTCATACACGTCCCAACACGAAAAAAAATGGCGCACAATTACATACACCATAAATATCGAACCCGATATAACGCACATTGGCGCATGACCCGAAAATATTAATACTTCGAGTACACCACCTCCCGGCCAGTCGATTCCAATTAATTGCAACGCAAACATCGCCGTATTCCAAAGCACGCGCGGCTATTTATATCGGCCACTAGAGCACGTGGGCGTTTGTTATTGCCACTCGCCGAGTACATACAAGCGCAGTTTGATTACCTCGAGCAACATCGGAGTTTGTCAACTCGCAAAAAAACTGCCCCTTGATGGCGAAACAGTGTAAAAAATGAGGTAAAAACCAACCGTTCCGGCCACGTACTCCAGATACCTCGGGAACACGTCGAGCCTGTCGCCGTCGAGCTGCAGCTCGTCGAGCTCGTACCCCTGCGGCAGAGCAGCCCAGCATGCCCCGGCGTACCTGACACCACCCAGCCAGAGAAAGAGCTCGAGCTTGCAGACCAGTTCGTCCGGTTTACCGGGCTTGTGCAGAAACAGGTCGAGCTTTCGCCCGCAGTCCCTGCCGCGGCCCGAGCGCTCCTCCGCATAGAGCAGCCGAGCAGCGGGTAGTCGAGCGTACCCCAACTGACCCCTTCTGCTCAGCATCCACACGAACACGTCCGGCAAGCCGTGCTGGGGCTAAGGGACACGCAATCCCTCGGTTAAACGGTAATCAAAGCCCAAGGTTTTGGGGCGCTCGAGCTAGCTCACGTCCTTGCACAGGTCCCTGATGGCGCGCAGGTGGTCGTACGCGTGGAGCATGGCGATGCCGAGGTACCGGTTGTCCACGAGCTCCCCGTTGGCCTTTAGCCGCTGCAGGACCGACTCCACCTCCAGAGCGCAATGGTTGAGCCGGTGTCGGTCCAAGCTCGTCATGCTCCACGTCGAGCTGCTGTCGCTGTCCGAGGCTGTTTCCCGCAAGCTCTCCAGGTAGGAGTCGCACTGACGCCGGAGAGTTCGAGAGGTCACGTTGTAGCTCGAGTAGGCGCTCCCATGGTCCAGGGCTTTGAGAGCCTCGAGCTTTTCGAGCTCGGCTTCCTGCACGAGAGTTATTGAGCGATTGGTGGTACATATGTCTTCCCTTGTTTTTTTTTTTTAATGTATTTTATAACACAATGCCCGGTAATCGGATCTAATGATTTAAGAAAAAACAAATCAATATTTACCGTGTGCAAGTGCTTTCTGTGACTCTGAGGGTAATGAGAAGGGAAAAGTATGAAAAATAAATGAGAAAAGGGAGACGCAAACGGAAGAAGCAGTAAACTATCGCTGGAAAAATCCCTCGTGGGGGCCGTGCGACGGCAGCGTGTGCGCTCTTTACTCCCTTATCTTTCCTTTCTCCCTCTCTCTCCTTTTCTTGCTCCTCAAGCCACAGAGGAGCTGTACTCAAGTTGAGATTTGACTCCGCGCATTTGGGTCGAGAGTCGCACGACGACGACGATGACAACAACGCGTGGGACGCGCTTTTTTATGTATACGGACGGACTGGAATCTTGTTAGTTACATCAAGCCGAGATTTCTTGGCTCACCGAGTATTTCGTTCCCTATTTTTTTATTTGTACTTAAAAAAAGGATGCAGGTACAGCGGGACAGATTTAATGAAAGAGATCGGATTTTTTGGACGATAAATTTTTATTGTGAATACCTTACCGAGAAATAAAGTGGTACGTCAATTAATAAATTCCAAAATGGAATGAAACATTTTATTTTACAGGGAATGAAAAGGGCTGTTTATTTTTATTGCTTCATGTAGGTCAGAGGGAAAAAATTTTATGCTAATTAATAAAAAAGTAAAAAACTGGAGTACACTAAAAGACTATATGCACGTGCCGATCTGATCTATTTTTTTTCGAGATGAACTCTAAACGTACTCATCAACGGTGGTGATACCGTCTTACAGACTCTGCTGTACAATAGTAAAATCAAAAATCAATTCAATAATAGACCGAATTAAAGTTAGAATAATATATCAAATTAAGTAGAATAGCTCAGGTATGGTCAGACATGATGTAAATGGATATTGATAGATTGAACTGTGAAAAATTCTTGATGAAAATTGAAACCATGATATTCATAATTATATATAATAAAGTAGAAAACTCACGTATAGTCAGACGGTATGAAAATGAAAATGAATTAAATGAGAAAAAAATTAAAATTACAGTTGAACGCGATTTTTAGTAGTAAGTAGAAGTAGTAAAGGAAAGATATGGTCAGATATGATGAAAATGTTTGAATCATGAAAAATTCAGCATTGAAGTTAGAACTGTGGCACATAAAATTAAGTAGAAAAGTTCATATGTGGTCAGACACAATTACATATACATAGTGTTAAGAAGTATCATCAACTTTGATAAAGCAAACAACAGAGAAAAAGAAAAAATAAAGTAGGTAAACAATATGAGTCCTATAAAATAAATAAAAGGATGCAATAAAAATCATACCAGATAATCGGCAATATAGTTGAGCCTATTGGAATTTTCCATGCGCCACTCGGTATTGGGCCATTGTGACTTTACGAACATACAAGGCTTCTTAGCGTCAATAGGTATATAGCTGTATTTATTGTCAGCACTGGACGTCACTTGTTCGAGAGTCCCACTTTGACTGTCAGCGCTTGCACATCCCGTTGCAGGTCCTTTAATGGAAGAGCACAAACGTAATAGTCATTTCTAAGGGTTAAATTTATCCGCTAACCAGCAGATGGTGTCGAGTCGTCGACAACATTTTCGTCGTCCTCCTCGTCCTCGCAGGCACGTTGGTGAGCCGCAAACCTTCTGTTGCCGGCGTTGCCAAGGCTTATTTCGAAACTAAGCGTCGCACCCCGTTGGTCGCGCCCTATCATGCACGCGTCGTACAACACACCGACCAACAAGTACTCGTCGCTGTGCCACAAGCTATCCTGCGGATTTACACGGTTGTGGATTTTTTCACTTCTATTAAGCTGCACTTTTGTTTAAGGATCGAGTCCGCAAAGTGCCATTGATGTCCATCGAGTATTTTTTTTTATCAAATATCGTTTTGGAAATTCTTTCGAGTGCTTCGCGTCATAAAAGTTAAAAAAAAAAAAACACGTTATTCGTCCGCACCGATTGAGGAAAAAAAACTACAGAGGAAAAAGTAAGAAAATTGTATGTGGGAGACGCTTTTTTTTCTTCCCCGTCCGACTTGCATCTGCATTTTTATTTATCCATTTATTCATAAAACTACGGGATTGGCCTCATTTTTCATATTTTCGCTTCAAAAGTCCCACATTCAGCGAACACCCTTGAAATATCTCGGGTATGTAGGTGAGAGACTCGCCTCGATTATCGAAGCGGTTGGCTCGATGTAAACACCCGCGGCACTGGGACCGGCGGCTTCCGTTCGCTCGATCTCCGTTCTGAGGGAGAGCAGCAGCCTGCCGCGGTAGATCGGCTCGGTCGGGACCTCGTGCCCGTCGATGTACAGGTGGAGGAAGGATGGGCCGAACGTGGGAAGGAAACCTTTGAACATCTCAGATCACAGTTTTTATAAGAAATTTTTTTTTACTCCATTTTTAAATTAAATGCGCACATCAATCATGCCTATGAAAAAATACATGCAAAAATGGGTGGTACTATAGATACAGTTAGACGGGATGAAAATGAAAATAAATTGAGTGAAGATAAAATTAAAACTGAAGTTGAACGCAATTTTTCGAATAAAGTAGAAGTAGAAAAGCTCATGTATGGTCAGACATGATGTAAATGGTTATTGATATATTGAGCTGTGAAAAACTCAAGATGAAAGTGGAAACCATAATATTGATAATTAAGTAGAAAAACTCGAGTATAGTCAGACGGAATTGAAATGAAAATAAATTGAATGAGAATAAAAAGAACGTGATTTTTCGAATAAAGTAGAAGTAGAAAAGCTCATGTATGGCCAGACATAATGAAAATTTTTTTAATCATAAAAAATTCAGCATTGCAGTTGGAACTATGGCACATAACATGAAGTAGAAAAATTCATATGTGGTCAGACATAATTATCCATAGTGTTAAGACACAAGTGTGCACGTCAGTCATGCCTATGAAAAAATAAACGCAAAAATAGGTGGTACTTGAACCGCTAGATTTATTTGTATCTTTTCTGGACAGGCAAGAGGGACGAAAATTAACGATTTCACCCGAAGGATAAGCCCCAAGTCCCACTAAATCCACATTAAGGATTGGAGGTATAAAAACAGCTTTGTGAAAGGAGAAAAAAAGAGACCAGAGCTGGATCGCAACTCAAACTAAAGCAAAAGAGACGATTCGGGGAAAAGGGTACAGAGAAGAGATAAGGCGAGCAGTTGAAAAGCCGGCTGATTTTAAAGAAGAAAAAGAAAAAATCCGTCTTCTCTCCGTTTGGGGCGGATAGGACTGGCCATCTTTTAGAGCGGAAATCTCCGGTGGCGCGCCTCTTTAGGTAATTGGACTTTGCTGGCGTCGCATATCCCGCGTAGGCTCTCCACCTTTTCTTTCCTTTTTTTTTATCTCTATGTTGGTATGACATTGGTAATAAAATGCCGGCTCGAGTGCAAGCTTTGGCATGGGTGTGAGGACGAGAAAAAGCTTTTTTTTAAGCTTTCGCAGGATAAATGCCTGGAGAAAGAGACTTCTCCAGCGTTACGTGAACGAATTTTTTGGTCCTCCGTAATATATCTTTGACATGCATGTACACGTTTATGTATACGAATGTGAAGATAAGAATTTTTGAAAAAACGAGGTATTTAACATTTGGACGGAATTGCAAGCTCAAAACCGGGTTTTAGTCCAAATGAATGCTTCGTTTCGTTACTAAGGATTATCTTTTATTTTGCTGCCATGAATTCTACTACTCCCTTTATTCTCGGATCTCTTGATTTCTATGGCCTCGAAATCCACCGACAAACAAACAAGGACATAAATAACCTTTTTCGGTAAACACGATACCCCCGACCGAATGAAAAATCCCGAAAAACTTTTAGCCTTTTTTTTTCTCCTCCATTCGCTTCGTACTTTACGAGACTCCAGTAAGCAATAAAGGGATCCTCTCGATTGTACTTTAGCTCCCCTCCCTTTGGGATCTTCAACAGCTTATTTATCGCTTCAATCCAGCGCTCTATTAACGCGATAAAAAAAAAGCACTGCTCTTCAAAATAACACAAGTGATTTTCTCAATAATTCAATCGAATGTAATTCCGAGATGAGCTGAGTGCGCGCAAAAGTGAAAAGGGCCTTCGTTAATACGAGGGAAAAAAGGGGGTTTAAGCCCCACTGTTCAGTGCCAGCCAAGTTTGAAAACGCTTCAAGATAGAAAAAAAAAAGTTTTTTCCACGGAGAAGAGGAACTCAATTGAGGTAATAAGTACCTTTCGCTTTTATTTTTGTCCTGCTATCACAGCTTTTTCCAAACGTAGTTAATACGCAAAAGGAGTTATGAGAGCGGCTCTTTGTTTCAAAAAAAAAAGTGCATCAAAATGATCTTTGAGGGTCGTACGAAGAGATAGGGTTTAATTCCATCGAATTTGAGAACCGACCACGATTGTAGGAACACTGCAATCTAGGATTAAGTTTTTCACATTGGCGTTAATTTAAAAAAATCTCCGGCTCAAGGGGGCTCTCTTTTTGGCTGATCCCTTACAAATGCAATTCATTCGGGCAAATTGCGCGGGAAAGAGCTGAATTCACAACCCTCTTTTGTTGAGCAGAACTTTATTCTGTTGGTTCAATGAAGTGAGGAACATACCGTACTCCCCGGAGTTCGAGATGTCCTTGAGGTTCAGGAAATAAGAGGCGATTACGTGGCTTTTTTTCTTGACCGCGATTTTGACGCGATGGGACAGCGGCGGGAACATCTCTTTGAACACGATGCGTTCGTCGAAGCGCAGATTGTTGCCGTAGCCGTCGCTCGTCGATGCCTTTTTTTTTTGCAGAAGAAAAAAAAACAAATGTTTACTCAAAACTCGAAACATTCAATCAACAAAACGAACGTTTTTTCACAGAAATTGTACAGACCACTGCATTTTACATCATACTTTTATTTCCCTGCGGAGCGTAACTCAATGTAAATTTGTCACGTCGACGCAGGTATTTCACTTGAGGAGGATATCGAATATCCAAAATAGAAGTGAAAATTTGAAAAGGCAAAATCGATGTCGCCACGCGGGAGATAAATTCAACATCGAACTTGCTTTTTCACGTAAACGTTTGTTCACACCAAAAATAATGTACTCACGCTTGCTCGAATGAGCGATATTCTATATGATATACTTATTGAGATGGAAGGAAAAAAAAAAAAAAAAAAAAAAAAAAAAGCCAACCTTCATCCCTGCAAAAGCCACCTGCACTTGGCAAGCCTGCTTCGCGGTGGCGAGAATCCTTTCGGGCAGAGCCTCGGCCCGGTGGACCGTGAACACGTAGCGGACCCGCAGTCTGGCCGCAAAGTGCCGGGCGTCGCCGAAAGGCAGCAGCAAATTCCTGCCAACGGAACAATCGGAGTGGATTTCACGCTTGGCTTTCCACTTCGCGCAATTAAGATGCAAACGATGGATTTATATAATCAAGCGTCGCGGTGATTTTCACTGCTGGCCGGTTCGCGTAACGACGGCACTTGGATTCATTTGTTGTTGTTTTTATACTCGTTATATTCGCTGGATTTCACTGTTTGATGAACATTTTACGGATCAACGAAGTCAATAAATTATAATTGACGTGACTGTGCTCTAGTGGTTTTACGCAACCACGTTATCAAACTCACCCAAATTAGTCTCTTGTTCGGCATTTGAGAGCTCGTCCCGGTATTATTTACGTCACGGCACCCAAGAAACGCCACTTTAAATCGTGGGCCATTCATTGACAAAAGTGAAAAAAAAATGGCTTGCATCGATCATCGTTACATCGAAATTAAAACGCACGGTCCGAACGTTTTTTTTTTTTGTTCGCGTCACCCTCCCGATGCACTGGTCGTTGATCAACTTCCACTACCAACTCGTCGTCCACGTTAACAGGTGCTTTTAGTCAAATTGACAAACACCGGGCCCGAAAAAAAAATGGCACTCGACCTTCCACGTTTTCGACGTATACTGCCTTTCTCTTCTAAAATCATGATTCATTCGGTGTCCGTAGGGGAGATCATGTGTACACGCATAAACAACTGGACGAATATACACGGCGTCACCTGTCCGACCACCGGGCAGTGGTATATACCGATCGAAACCCACATCGGTCAATTTTCGAGACGTAACCACCCGACCCCACACGTTTTATGTGTATATACACCTACATGAGTATGGATATGGAACATGACAGGCTGGGATACACGTGTTAACTGTTCTGCGATGATCAATCGCCTCTGGCGCTCAGTTTTTTTATCAACATTTGGTGCGCTTTGTCCTTGTTAATTTTTTACCAGAGACAAATTAATTTATTGGGTTACCCCTCGATGTCATCTTCCTCGTCGGTCTCGGGTAGCGTCTTGAGTTTCTCTCCCTTGGCGTGCACAGCCAAGTTGCACTTGACGTAGCCCCTGGGTCCGGACGCGGGGTCCCGCGGGTTCGTCAGCATCGCCCATTTGTGATGATACAAGTGATCTGCGCGAAAAACCAATCATCACCACCAGAAGCTGCACATACTTTTTTTCTTTCGTTGTTTGCACCACTTACCGGATTGGTCCCAAACGCTGGCGACCTCAAAGTCGAAGCTACCGTGGAACTTGCAGCGTTTGATGAGGCCACCGTACAGGTAGGCGGTTATCGCTATCCTCGTGCTGAGCAGCGTGTCCAGGTCGCACGTCAAATCGAACACAAAGTACTGCGTTCGAAAAGAAATAAAAATAATAATGTGTCGGTTCAAGTGAGCCGAGCGGCTAATTTTGGCAACAAAGAGCCTCGAGCCGATGAAAAGGTTCCAACAAGCAGATTTTCGTGAAAAGGTTACGGAATGGCGTTCTCCGAGGGGCGGGGGGGGGGAAGGAAGGAGGGGGAAGTTCCGAGTTGTTTGACTTTCATGAAAGCCGAAAAGTTTGATCAAACAAAAAACCCGGCCGGCCGGTCGCTCGGAAATTCAGATGATCCCATTTGCGATGCAGCGTGAAAAGCTACGGCGGTAGAGATACCGGGTGGAGAGGAGTATACATGGGTAGGTTCGAACAAACCACCCCCTGAGCTCTAATACATTTTTTGGGAGTACACGAATGGATGTACTCACGTGAATAGATAAACAAAATCGATAGAGGAAGGAATATCGACCGGTTGCGTTGCACTTACCTCTCGAAAGTAGGTGTTGTCCGCCGTTTTACGGATCGCCGTTTTCTTCTTCCGATTGCCGACCCGTACGGCAACCATCACGTTCGTGTTGGGCTCTATGTGCTTGGCCTCGATTATCGTCACGCATATTTGATAGGTTTCCACTTTTTTCTTCGCTCTCCTCGTGCCCACCATGGCTTTGTTTACGCTTTGCTTTTATAACCAAAACCATTTGACACCTACGGGGTCGTACAGGGATAGAATCGTGCACTGAAAATATTTTATTTTTTCATCAAGAGATTCGAGAAACTATACCTGGGCATGTTTCAAAAATTTCACACATCCTGGTACTGGTTTTAGTGCTCGCTGCTAGAAAAGCGCAAACGATTTGTTTTTTTAATAAAAAAGTTTTTTTGATTGGTACTTTTTTTCAGGAAATCGGCGTATCATAATTTTTTAATGAAATTTTCCTAATTTATTGGTTAACACCACAACCGGAGGAATATTAATAATAAACTTGCCGTTTTTTCTCAGAAGGTGACAAAACAAGGGTAATAAATAAACCTAGAGGACTCGGTGTTTTATTATATTGTTATAAGCGATTGAAATTTTTTATTTACAAGTGAAACAAATTTCACAATTAGTGGGACTCGTGTGATAACATGAGTGTTTTGTAATTTTAAATTTGCGCGTATTGTTCGCTACCGCTGTTTTAATAAAAGGTATTTATTATGCAAAGTGGCCGGCAACGCCACTCTGATGTAAGCCGCTGATTGGCTTGTGCGTGCCAAGAACTTGCCGTGCACCTAGAAAAACAAACGGAATACTTTACATTTATAAAACAACACTGATTTAATCAACTGTATGCAGAACCACCTGTTTTGCATGCATATCTTATGTACCTTGGCCAACGAAATAACTACAAGTTTAACGGTAATTCTTATTTTTTTCACTAATCGCAATTAAATTGTAATAATTGCATTTTCTACATTAGCAAAAGTAATGTGTTTTAACTCATAATGGGTATTTTTTTCGAAAGACAGTAATAATTTTACTACAACTTACCCATACAACAAAGTTTGATGATATTGTGTTTATAAACAGTTTTGTTGTATTTACAGTAAGTATTAGCGAAAATAATTACGCATTCCTATTTTTGTCCACAAAATTTTAATAAAACATTGACTACTTATAATTTGCATTAAAATTTGCTTCAAAACTCCCGCATATTTAAAAACTTGATCACCATTCAATAACTTATCGACAGAGTACTGTGACAGATTTCTACTACAATTGGACACATTACTCCAATATAGTAATTAGTAACAAATGAGAAAACTACCTTATCTACTACATAAACTGTCTGTTGGTAAGCTTACCCTAGGGTATCGACAAATGTTAATTTACTCACTGGCTTATAGGTGTTTGGGAAATTAGAAAATTTAAATTCGCACAAAACCAGCGTGACATTTTTTTGTAAATTTTACATCAGTTTTCCTTTATTAAAATGGTTTATACTTACAAATAAACGAAAAAAGTACACTTACATTAAAAAACTAAAAAAAACGTGTACTACATCATTGATGCAAACCACCAAAAGAGATTAGCTTTTTTAAATATTCAAACACAGATAAAAAGGTAAATGATATTTATAGAAAAAAAAAAATTAAATCTGTTTCTCCAACTGAATCCAAATGTATTGTTCACTAAATTGTTGTTTATCTTTTTGAACTCAATTCTACAGCAGCAACAAAAATAATTCTTCAAAACTGGCAAAATCTCCCTCAAAGATATCTATTGTAAATCATGAGGCTGCTGTGTGCAACACTACCTCCCGGACGCACTTCCTCCAATTCAAATTATTGATTCAAGCAGTAGGGGCAAGAACATCTTCTCGTACTTGATGAACATGAAGTTTTTTTTTTAAATTGACCAAAGATTGTTTAACATCCATTGGTTCAGTGACATCTTGGGAACTTTTACATAATTATCTACCAGCCAAGTCCGTTATTTTATTAACGTTTTGGAACATCAATTATTACCTGCTTCACAACTTGAGTAAAATTATCTTTAAAAAATTTTCTTATTTACTAATGAATTTCATTCTCTGTAAATGAATGTTCGTATTGCTTCGATTTATGGACGACCTTGGAATGCCTTTTCAGCTCTTCAAACACTGCTTTGTACGCATTTTTCTTAGCACATCCTCGACTTAAAGACATACTTTGTCCAATTAATTGTTTATTAAAAAATATTTTGCATAAAAAATAGCGCTCAAATTTTTCATACACACTCTCTATTTTCAATTTGTTTTTCTTAGAAAATTCAGAAACAATGTCCCGTGGTTCCGCATTTAATTTTTTATACACAACATTTTGTGTAGTCTGAATAAAAAAAGAATCTAGAGTAGATACATGTGCATCTGGTTTTTCAATACAATTAACTGAAGACTGTTTTTTATTAAAATTTAAATTACTTGTAATTTCTGGTGGTGGAACATTGTCGAATTGGATAATGTTAAAATTCTTTTTCAACTCTTCAAAAACTATGGCACAAGCAGCTTTTCTGGCACTTCTTTTATTGAATCCAATACTTTGTCCAATTAATTGTCGATTGAAAAATATTGAGCACAACTCGTTGTACTCAACTTTTTCGAATGAAACATCTAAAACGATTTTATTTCTCTTTGTATATCTAGAAATGGTGCTTAGCGGTACCTCACTGCGACACTTGTACACAACATTTTCAATTGTTGGAATGAAAAAATTATTTCTAGTTATTGGGTGTACAACTCTTTCTTTAAGACTATTACCTGAAGGTTGTAGATATGTTGGTCCAGTCGCACTTTTTTTTTCATCTGATCCGCCACTAGCCAAGTCAATTTTCTTACTAATGTCATTATCCTCCAGGGCTTCATAGGATTTTTCATCTGAATTCAAATAATGTGAACCTATTAATGGCAATTCATTCACTTCTATAATGTTAAAATGTTTCTTCAACTCTTTAAGAACTGCTACAAACGCCTGGCTTTTGGCAATTTTTTTAGTAGGTCCCGTACCTCGTCCAACAAATTTTTTGTTGTAAAGTATTGTGCATGAATGAAGGCTGTCAACAGTATCTTTGACAATATGTACTTTAATCTTATTTCTTTTCGCGAATCTACAAACAGTAGACTGTGGCGGTTCATTAAATTGTTTATACATAACATTTTCTATGGTCTGAATAAAAAAAACATCTTGAGTCGATGGATTTGAATCTATGTTTTTAAGACTATTGACTATTAATGGTGTAATAAATTTAATCGTTTTTGAAACAACTTTGTCATCAGTTGACACAATGAATGTTGATTTTTCGTCTGGTTTCAAATATTTGGAACCTATTGGAGGTAATTTTTCATTGGTTTGTATGATGTTGAAATATTTTTTCAGCTCTTCAAGAACTGCTACACACGCCTGGCTTTTGGCAATATTTTTAGTATGTCCCGTACCTCGTCCAACAAATTTTTTGTTGTAAAGTATTGTGCATGAATGAAGGTTCTAAACTTTGTCATACACAAAATCTACTTTGATATTATTTCTTTTGGCAAATTTAAGAAGAACGAACCGTGGCGGTTCATTAAATTGTGAATACACAACATTTTCTATAGTCTGAATAAAAAAAACATCTTGAGTCGATGGATTTGAATCTATTTTTTTAAGACTATTGACTGAAGATTGTTGAGGATTAATTGGTTCTATCTCACTCACAAAATTTTCGCCAGATCTTGTACTAGTTGGACTAGTTGAAACTATGGCCTGTGGTTTATTTTTAGAGCCCTCACAAAAAAAGTCCTTTGTGTGTGCAGGAAAATTACTTTCTGTTGCTGTTTGTACGTCTTTTTGATCTGAATTTTTAAGGAGACTATTATTCGAAGACTGGGAATGCCGATCTTTATTGACTGGTAACATTTTAAGCAGTCGTTCAGGTTCAGGTTTCGAGCCAGATATACCTAAAACTATGTATTTTTTGTTTATAGAGAATATTATACTGTTTTTTTTGTTTTTCTCACACATAAATCATTGTACTTACAAACTGAATTGTTGCGTCTAAGCCCAGCCATTTTTGTAAGCCTCTTTTGTTAATAATAATTTGAGTCCTTTAATTGCTTTTTTAAGGTAGTTGTACAGGTACCGCAAGAGTCATGAAACTTTTTGATTTGTGTAGTAGAACGATCTGGCAACGTCGCTTTGCGGTCATGTGTGTGTGCCTGTAAGTGTGTGTTCAGAGCATCATAGAAGGAGCACTTCGTTGATCAGCTGTAGCAAAAGGAGAAGCGACTGCTGACATTACTTTAGAAATGGTTATCGATGCTTATAAACAAAGAGGCCTTGATGGCCTATCTAGTCTACTTGGTGCTGATGAAAATGGCACGATTCGAGTAACTAAAAATAATAAAGTTAAAAATAGGCTATTTAATTATTTAAAAAATAAATATTAAATATTTATTACATAAATATTAATTTATAACATGTTTATTTCATTTTTAAGTAATATATGGCAATAAAATTGTTTTGATGTTCTTTGTATATCAGTTCGTTTTATTATTTATATATTTATTTATCATATTTATTTAAAATATACGTCCTATAACAATAATTGAAAATCTATAAGAGAGATTGCAGTAATCAGGATTTACGAGCAATCATATGTACCTATTTACCTTTCAAACCGCGCGCGTAATATCAGATTATGCGGCGTTGCCATATTTTCAAATAGCGTCTCACAAATGCACGTTCTTCACGCTTTACTATTTAATTACTTTTCTCACAAGTACCCTTGGAAGGTTTTGAAAGCGAATATATAATTGTCATTTAATTATCTTTCTACTGTCCAAAGGGCATCAGAACCTATCCTATATTAGCAACGATATGAATGATAATATACAGACAGCTCCGCGGTTTCCCATAAGACGCCATGTTGAATTGGCATGTAAACAAAAACTCAAGGCATGCAAATAATTATGAATATCTCCCTTTATAGGTACCCTCGGGTCACAAAAATTTAGATTTCTTATTTTTATGCATTAATCTACCATCCTGCAAAATATCATAATTTTCTATCCTATATTTCAATTTGCTGTACAACTACCTTAATCGAACAATGCAGCTGGCGCAAAGTTTGCAAGCAACGAGGTACTTATAAGAGTGCAGAAAATT